AGCCAAGGTACCCGAGCCACCTCGGGAGAACCACTCTCCAGTTACACCGCAGTCAGCGGGAAGAGGAGCCCAGGGGACACGCCTGAGGCACAGCCTGAGCTCTCTGCAGTCCCAGCAGTGGGCCCTGTGCAGCTCAGCCTGCAGGGAACCAGGGCTCCCACGCTGCTCCTGGCTGCTGCCCCGGCTCACCCTCCCAGCAGCCCCCTGCCAGGACTCTGGCAGCCCCCCGCCGCTCTCCCACCTGAGCCCCGGCTGCCGCCCGCTCCTGCTGCTCCGGCAGCTTCGCTGCCACCAGCTGGGGCAGCTCCTCCATGGTCAGACCCGCCATGGTCCTCCGAGCAGGCTTGATCTGCTGCAGGATGTTGGTGAGCTGGGCCCTGTGGGGACAGCAGCCTGCTGAGAGCTCCCAGCCACCGCCAGCGAGCCAAGCAGCCTCCACGGACAGGGACCCTCTGTCAAAGACCCTGCAGCTCCACTCCAGGTGAGGCAGCCCCCCCAGCTCTGGGAGACGCCTGAATCGCAGCAAAGGAGCGTGTGCTCTTAACTGGCCACCCTCCAGATGAGGTGAATCGCACGCTGAACGAGCGTCCCTCCCCAGAACGCTGGGGAACAGTGGGGAAACCCCAGCTGGAGCCAGAGACAGCGCCCACCCACCCCGCAGCCTGGGTGCCGCTGTGTGTAGGGTGCTCCCGGCTGCACTCAGGTGTCACTGCTGTCCTTTGGACAAAGCTCCAAGCGTTTCCCATTCCCAGTGCTACAGCAAACCTGAGAGAGCACCCAGCCTTTGCTCCTCCAGACCCCACAAGCACCAAGAGGAGCTCCGCTTCCCCTTACCCAGCCCACGCCCCACACGCCAGTCTCCACGCTCCGGGAGGGACAACGCGAGACACTTACTTGTTGCACTGTGGAAACCGAGTCAGCAACTTCTCCAGCAGCTTTTCCAGCTTATCAGCTGGCTGCAGCCTCTGGAACTCTGGAGCGATGTTAACTGCTGCCAGGCCGGGCGGAGGGGGGATGGAGGCAGCGGGAGGCACGTGAGGGCTGTGCGTGCCCATAAGCGATGCCACTACCGGGCTGTTCCTTCCTTGGGAAGCTGGCAGCGGCGGGGAAGGCTGGTTGGGTCTGGAGATGGCAGGGTTCAGGAGAGGAAAGGACAGCGCCCGAGGGTCAGCACTTGGCATGACCATGGGGACGGGGACAGGTCCGATGGGAAAGGGGAGCCTGGGAGTAAGGGATGGGTTGGGCTGGAATGCCGTCAGCATGAAATCTGTCTGAGAAAGAGAAACAGGGGGAGAAGGAAAGGCTGGTTAGAATAAACCCATCCCAAAGCAGAGCCGAGCGCCTTCCTCCCCAGCCAGGCAGGGGGTGGGCTGAACCACGGGCACTGGCGGCTCTACTCCCCATG